AACAAAGGTAAAGACCTCAAAGCAAGTCAAAGTGAAGATATTGGAAAGATTGTAGATGAAAGTGGTGAAAAGTTTACAAAAGACATTCCAAGTATGAAAGAGATACATAGACAGCAGGCAAAGCTAGTCGACCAGCTTTTGGTTAAGTCACCAACGGAAATCAAAAATGCTAAAGATACAATATCAGACTCTAAACCTTTGAAAGAAAACAAATTTTTAAATATCAAAAGTGACGTTGGTGCCACTGATAAAAGTATTCAGTCTACGATAGTGAAAGTTCTCACATCTGACATCAAAAGTGACGAACGTCCAAAACCGATATTTTCTGATACAATTGTAGATAGAGCAACCGCTAACGAAAGCGATACATTATATGTAGTCCCTGATACGTTTGGTGACTTTCTAGATATAGAGTCAGATGATTCATTCAGTATAGATGTAGGTGCAGTTGATGAAATGTCAGATAGTTACACACTAGCTGATGTCTTAGTTATAGAAGTAGATGTTGAAATCATTGACATAACAGAATCAGACGACGAAATTGTAGATTTCGAACCAATAGCTCTCCAAGATGATCAAGATGAAGCAATTGACATATTAACAGAATCAGATGACGATATTGTAGACTTCAAAGCAATAGCTCTCCAAGATCAAGAAGGAGTCGACATAACAGCAGCCAGGAATGACATTGATGATACATATATAACATACAACGATATTGTTGACGATGATGATAACCTGTTTGGTATCATGGACATCTATATAAAGAGTGATCTACACGTCGACTTACAGATCGTAAGTGCTTTGCTCAATAATGATTGATGTTTTGTCACTATACATGCATTTGAACGTTTTTCTAGCAACTGATTTGATACGCGAGCACAAAGAATCACGAATTTTAGTTTTAATTAATTAATAAATTCATTCATTCATTCAGTACGTTTTATTTCATTTCATTTCAATTCAATTCAATTCAATTCAATTCAATTCAATTTATTTATTTATTTAATTTTATTTTCAGATACCAACATCAGCCGAGCACTGTGATAAGAGGAAAGACTTTGGATATAAATTCTTTTCATTTTCAACATTCTTTAAATGATATAATAAAGATTAGAAAATGTGTTTAAACTTTTCGACTTCTTTTTTATGTAGCCATAGATGGTGTTGCGTTATTGCACAAGAGACTTAAATATGTTATCTATGTGCCTGCGTTAATTTATGTTCAACAGAATCATTATTTCAATTGCATGTGTGCTATTGATTAATTTCTATTAGATAGTAGTGCTGCAAATCAGCCTATTTCACTCGCCTATTTAGAGGGGTATCTAGTATATGTCAGTCAACAGCAAGTATCATTTACCAAAATGTTCGTATGGACCTGTAGTTTCTGGAATGAATATTCATTTGGCTTAAACCCGATGCGAAGTTGAAATATATCCAAGATGGCGTCAAAGATGGCCGCCAAATTCCTAAATATACTGAAGTAATACTGAAGTATTCATACCGGCTTATTTCTCTTTTCAGTTTTGCATATTTGTTGAAATTTTGCATTCAATTTCTTACATTAAGATAATTCATGCAACAAAAGATAACTTATAAGCTATTTCTTTACATATTTTTTCCATATTATCTATAATTCGGATATCAATGCATATTATGGCTAGTCTTGTTAATAAACATTTATCACTAAGCTTTATTAATAAAGTAACATTAATGCATTTGTTTTATACAGGTTTGAAAATGTATCTAAACATTACTTGAATGAGTGTATATGCCAAATCTGTATAAATATTCTGTAATGTTCCAAAAACGTATACGAAGTGGGTGGGGTAAAATGTACCAGATACAGGTGTAGCTTGTACTGACTGTTGTGTATTTTAGAAGATCACACCATATCTTGAATTGGTTTGACAGTACACGTCTTTTTTTGCCTTTCATGGATAATACCAAGCACCTGTTTCTAAATGTTGAAATGTTTATTTTTTGCTGAATTATCCGGAAAACGTTGAGCTATTTTGTTAACTTGGGGTTGGTCCCGTGCTGTGCTATAGCATTTGGTTTATGATTAATGGGAAACATTTTTTTTCTTACTAAAGATCACTATTTCTAAACTCGAGATATGTTTGGTCACTGTGGCTCACTGTTAAAGTCCTATAATTCTAGCATAAGTTTTAACAGAATTATATCCCTTTATAAACTAATCTGGGAAAGATTTGTTTCCACAAATGAGCAGAATTCCATATTCAACACTATAAAGAACTTAAATTAGTGATCCTCAAGGAACAAAAAATATCGTCATTAAAGCTTAAGTTAAATACGGGGCTGGATTTTACTTTTAAGGTTCATTTTAAAATTTAATTTTAAAACCATTTAAAGGATCATCATTACTAGCTGGAAATCACCGTGTCAGACTCTTATTACTAGCATACACCCATCATAGACAAAGCGAATTGTTTGGACAAGATCTATCTAAAATAGAATCCTTAAAGAATGCCCTAACATGGCAAAATTGAATTATTATGTTCAATGACCATAAAAAAGGCAGAGTATTGTCCATGTGCCCTTGCAATGACTAATTATATTCAACATATGAAATAGTAAAACCATTGAGGGAATTCACTAGTAACTTTACACATGCAATTGGGGTCATAATTGTAGGTCAATGGTAAAGACAATCTTACCTGATTTTTGCTAAATAAAACTACTTTGTGAAATCAGTGAAATAATGAATTATTTAATTATTGGCATTGAAATAATATAGTTATTTCAATGTTCTAGAATGTCATTCCACTTGCAGCTCTTGTTTTGAGACATGTAACAATTTATGATCAACTCTAACTTATAATTAGATGCATGCTATCACACTGCTAGAGTCTTGTTCATAGATCTACAGTCCTGATTTCAAAGGCATGTGAAGTTTCAAATAACTGCATTACATAATTTGATGTTGGGGAATTTGAACCACAGAATGTTAGGGATAGTTTAATGAAGATGAGTGCTATAGTAATGATATTTGAACGAGGGCATGTTATTTAATTATTGATTTGAAATTGCTTGAAAAATGATAAACTGTTAAAATTCTATACTATATGAGTTAGCTAATTCTAAAGATCAAATGAACACAATAAACACATTACAAACAGATGGAATGGACTGATAATTTTATAAACAAATCGCCATTCTTTCAAACCAGTGGCTTTTGAAATTAGGTGGTCCTTGCCACAATCAGGTGGTCTCGGACCAACGGACCACCGCTAATGTCGAGGCCCGATGATACAGAAATGCAATACAAGTTCAAAATAATATGGTTAAAATTATAGTTATTAGGATTCAAGGGGCTACACATAGAGTCATACTACACATCCCATGAATATGATAAAACTAGTGTAATAGAGTTATGCAAGACAATCGAAATTGTTAACAAACTCAAAGGAAACATTTCCCTAAATTAGCATGGAATTCTTGACAACAAAAGATTGTTTTTCCCAACAAGGATAAATGATATTCTAGCTTTATTTTTTACATTAAACAAAAAAGGAAGTCTTATCCTCGGTAATCACAAAAAAATACCATGATAATTTCAGACTCGTTTGGTGTCCTGCTGGGCTCCTTGTCAGTGAACCTGTGTTGCTGGGTCAGTCAGTCAGTCAGTTTAAGTTTATTTATACTCGGCGCCGGTATAACCATCTGTCCGAGAATATAGCATCCATGCCGGTCCACTAGGGTAGTCACATCGGGGACGTCTTTTTCAAGCTGAATCTTCCTGTTGCCTATTCTTCGTTCGTTGGTGGTAGAGGAGTACGACAATACTGGCCAGGCATCACGTTCCATACTGACGATAACAAAAACGGCTCTCATTAGCGCCAACCCTCCAGAGTTAGTCACGACAGGTCAACCAATCACCTCTGGTACTTAAGATGACTTGACCTTGACCTGCCGTGTGCCTTCTCCGCGACGTGCACGCCTCTGGAGGGATTTGGAGAAGGTTGCTGGGTCATGAAAGGTAGTGTTTATTGAATGCCGCTTTTCTCATATTTGATTGCGTTTGTATATTAGAGACAATGAAAATGTGCGACATCCATCAAAATAGTTTGAAATGGCCAATTAAAGTCAGTTTTTAGTCCAATTAATCATTTCAAACTGAGCAAACTGCTTGATGAAGACAAGAAACTGCATAGAAACAAATTTAAGCCCCTCTGTCCCCAAAAAGTCTTAAATATCAATGAGAGTATTAATGGGGTCCAAAAACAATTTAATCACTATACAGACTGACAAAGTTAACGGCCCTGACAATTAAGAATAGAGAGAAATAAAAGCCCTAAAGGAAGTCCAGAACGACAAAGTTGAAAACGTTGAAGGCGGTTTCATTGAGCATGTTCATGGACGATACTGATAAGTGCAAGCCACCGTCCACGCCCTCTCGCACCGGCTTAAGCAGTATTCAACAGTTAATATTAAATTATAAAATTTCGTATTCTGAAACATTCGCAGATGTGTTCACACGGCGGTTATCATGGCACTTTCAATGTGACATGTTGGTGTCATTCCATCAAAAGCGGCGTATGGTCCCCAATTAAAACAAGAGTCGTTCGATGCTCCCCAAATAGGTTTTGGATACAGAGGAGTAGTTTGTCCGTAAAATGTCTAGCAAATTCAGCATAAAGTTATTATGTTATGGCATACCTGCTGGGTTTAAGATATCAGCGGCATACCTACCGATATACGCCAATACGCATGGGCGTATAAAAAGAAAAAGTTTCGAAAAAAATAAAATTTCAAAAATGAAATCATTAATTTGATTCTAATTGATTCTATACGTATGCTTAGGCTGTTACCTTATTCGAATATGCGTTACTTTTTTATGCACAATCAAAACTTCAATTATGAAGAAAGGGAGTAAAAATATGATATAAATAATTTCTTTGGATTTTTTTTCAGCTTGAGTTAAGCGTTATATTGCTAATAAACCTCGTCAAAATCCAAATATATTACAATAATTTTTTTCAGAAGAATTAAATCAGTGAAAAGTAAATATTTATTTCATTTTTTACATCTAGATCTATATCTTGTTTGCAACTTGGCGTTTGCAACACAATGGAAGGGAGAGAGTAAGCTGTATGGAATGTCTTTTTATATTTTACCTTGTAACTATAAATCAGTATATTATTTTTAAGTTAGTAATATTCATTAAACTTATAGTAATTTCATGAACTATATCACTATAGAAAATTGTTTCTAATGTATTATTTAATTGAGTAAAGAAATTGTACACTTCTGACAACAATGATATGTATTCTTTATTATACGTAGTCTCATCTATTCATATTAAACATACAAATATACAACGAGAACAATGTATAACCATATAAGACACATCATGTTTTCGCCGACTTCAGATAACAAAATGGCGGGTCTGTTTATACCAACATGCTTTATGTGCGTGAGGCATTTAACTTCGTAATGAAATAACTTAAATATTTCGAATGGAAATTGAAAGACTAGAGTTGAGAACAAAACTTTTAAAAACAATATTTATTGTCTACAACATTGACATAATACGCATTAAAAATATTTTAAGGAAGCTAAATGATCGTGCGATACTACATTTTAGCTGTGAATACGATAACGTTTCGTTACACTAAATATTTAAGCTGTTGTGTTTGTATTAAAGTCATACAGATCATTTTAAAGCATATTTGCCTTGATTATATCTCACGTTCAGTTATAGTGAAACAAAAGAAAATAACAAAGAAAAAACTTAACTTGTTACAAAAGGAAATAAAACCCATCTTTTTTACAAGAGAGACACCTGGCTATGTTTTATTTTTCTAAAAGCAAATATTTTTTGAACTATTTAAAACAGTGTTCACGTTAGACTACTACATTCAATTTATGTACTATTTTCATAACTATAGATAAATACAATAGTAGTACAATTAACTTAAATATCCCTAAACCCTTAGTTATAGCACACAGCTATATTTGATATATAAGTCTCTGGCGATACTTCGGCTAAAAACCGGCACTCGGCGTACACTCATAATAAGCAGAGGTACGCCCCTGGATATGCAAGAAGACAGTATTAACAACGGGTAGTAACTCCAAACTCTTGAAACAAAACT